AACCTTTCCGGGACCAACTTTTTTTTTAATCTTTTTAATGATCGGTGTATCATTTTATAACTATCTATCTTGATGGCAACCTCAGGAAAAAAAATTTTTGTGTTGAAAAAGCTGGGATCCCCCTAGGGATGGTGGTACATATTTACACCACCTACCCTGTGGGTTTTTCAAAAAAAAATTTTTTTTCTCTGAGGTTAGATAGTTATAAAATGATAGACCGATCATTAAAAAGATGAAAACAAAGTTGGTCCCGAAAGGGTTAAAGCTCATTATATTAAATATGGATATAGTGCTCAAGTTTAATCAACTCTTTTGATGTTCTTTCTCGCAATAATTTTAATTGCACTTTTATGAAAAATTTATTTCCTTAATTTTAATAAAAGTAAAATATTTATTTTTATTTCTTTCAAAATAATTTCATCAAAATTCTGCAAAACCTTAATCAAATTAAAATATTTACGAAAAGAAATTTTTTTAAAATTAATTATTAGAATAATTTTCTAATGTTAATCTATTGAAAATATAGATATTTTAAATTCTAAGTGATTTCTTTTGTATTGATATTCTATGTAATATATATATGTTGTAGTCAAAATTAAAATATTTTTTTTATAGGTCAGGTGCGGGAAATTCAAAATCACAGTGAAATTTTTTTTTCGTTTTTTTTGCACTTAGTTTAGTAGATGGGAGTTCAATGATTATAAAAAAAATATTCTTAAAATTTTAAAAATTCAAGATGGCGTAGTACGTCATTTTTTACAAAAAATTGACAAATTTTGGACATGATGCATATTTTATTTTTTCAGGTTCCTTACTGCTTGAAACCAATTTTTTCGTAATCCTCATGGAAAACTGACTACAAAAAGTTATATTTAAATATAACTTTTTGTAGTCAGTTTTCCATGAGGATTACGAAAAAATTGGTTTCAAGCAGTAAGAAACCTGAAAAAAATAAAATATGCATCATGTACAAAATTTATCAATTTTTTGTAAAAAATGACGTACTACGCCATCTTGAATTTTTAAAATTTTAAGAATATTTTTTTTATAATCATTGAACTCCCATCTACTAAACTAAGTGCAAAAAAACGAAAAAAAATTCCACTGTGATTTTGAATTTCCCACACCTTAAAAGAAGTAAAATGTTTGCGGGTCGATCGATTTCTCTTTCTATTCTTCTTCTATTAACTATAGTTATTCTCACAACTAAGAAAACTAGATCAGAACTAAGAACAGCTATTGTGTACGATGAGTGACTTATCCAATAAGACAAAATAAAGAGAAAGAAAATTCCAGTAAGGAATTATTGTAAAAATAAGTTGGTATATAGATGATCACACATCCTAAAAAAACCATGGAGTTCGCCACAACGATTTTTCAAGTTAATAGTAATGAGAAAATGTTTTCTACTCTAACAAATGTCATTCAAAGAGGGGTGGATGCTTAAACATGGATTAAATAAAACTAGAACTAAATGATGTTTCTTAAAAAGTACTGTAAAATAAAAAAACTTATTCACACTTAGATTATTTGTCTTTCTTCGTCTTCTTTTAACTATAAAAAAAAATATTTGTATTTTAACAGAGAATATTTTAGTCAAAATTAGAATTCCAATTTTGCTTAGTCAAATTTCAAATTAGACTGGATTTTAATTTTGACTACAACATATACATATGAATAGCTTAAACATCAAAGTAATTATTCCAAATAAATAGATTTAATTCTAGGATTTATTTGAATAAAATTTCAAATAAAAATTTATGATTTCATAAGAGTTATCTACTAAAACCGCACTATTAAAAAAAAGTGTATTAGATAATAGGTTGCCCTTAGATAAATTTATAGTAAAAGGTCACAATAAATATGTTTTGATAAAAGTAATTGTCTTTTGTCTTACCTCTATATGATGAAACCTACGATGATTATAATCGGATATTCGATCGAATAGTATTATACTCCTACTCTTATGAGAGAGGTATTTTATATATATATGATTTAATGTGTAGGTGCACATAATAAGATAAAAATCAGTTGTATTGTATTCTCCACCTCCAACAATAAATATAAAATCAATGTTAAATATCGAAGCAATAATATATTTTAGCTTATAATAATCGTATCAATGCTTCTTATACACATACATGAATAAAACTTATTATCTCACCTGTAAGAACAGCAAGAAAAAAAAATATGTATGACTGATTTCATATACGAATACAAAAGATAGTTAATATGGATTATTTTTTGTTTTTATTACTTCACAAGTCCAAGGTCTATGTTAAATATTAAAGTAATTGTGTATTTTGCTTATTTAGAATAATATTTTCAACAATTATAAATGACTGATCATTAGAAAGCAATTAAACTGTGCGTGTATGTAAAAAAGAAAAATATATATCAAAGATTATTTTATGTAAAAAAGATAAAAAATAAGATAAACGTTAATTATTATATGACCGATCTCTGAATAAAGTGCAAAATCTAGTAGAATAATTCGAAACTGTCCCATTTTTTATGAATATATAGCATATATAGATTACAAAGGAACTTAAAATCTAGGATAATTTCAAATTCTCCATAAGGGAAATTAAAAGTATTTTATTATCTATCACAGTTTATTGCAAAACCTCAAGATATTAACCGCCAGTGCATTCAGAATGAGTACAACTATATTGATAACAATGAAACTGAAGATAAAATGGCTCCTCACGTTCACACTCGCTTTCAATCTCTCTCTTATCCCAAGACTTCATATTCTTATTTGCTCCTGATTTATTCTAAGCGAGATTAAAATTTTCAGTTTGTCTCATAAAATGTAGAAAAAAATAAAATAATTTTAATTTCCTTTAATGAAAATTTTCAATGAAAATATACATTTTGTGATCAGTAAAATGAATGAAATCGTTGATTAATTATGTACAAGTGTCAGTAAAAAATTCAAATTTAATTAGTAAAATTGCAAATTCTATCAGCAGCAGAAATAAGTTTTCTTAATATCAAGATTAATTTAATATAAGAAAAATAGGCTCAATTAAATAAAAAATTCAAAAGAATACTGAATAGAAATGCAAATAATGAATGAGAAAAAGAAGATGAAAATTAATCTATTGTATTAGCAAATCATGTTTAACCTTTATTGGCCTATTCCTTTTTCCTTTCTCATCGATCGACATTATTTTTGATACAGTTGGTGGTTTGCAATATTTTCTAACAAATGATTACTCTAGCAAATCAATAGTAGATCTTATCAGTTAGTTATCAAACGACAACTATATATATATGAACGCTCGAGAATAAAATCTATGATACTAGGAAAATAACATAATAAGAAAAAAAATATCTTAATATGAAGGAGAGAAAAAAAAGATATGTATGCATGTCGTATTTATCATCTGTACGAAGTAATAGAAGAAAAGAAAAAAAAAGTGAATCAGATTTTAACATATTTCGATTTTTATACTAATCCTTTAATTTAATTTAGCGATTTTTAAATATATTGATAGACCTAATTATTTTTCTAATCATTCATTTATTCTAATAACCACTTAAATGGTAGACATTTTTAATTATTCGAGGCTTTAAGTTTCTCTTTAACCGATATATGATATGTTAATAAAAGATGAAATAAATTCAACTTATTAGTTTTCCAAATAAATATATTTAATTCTAGGATTTATTTGAGTGAAAATTTATGATTTCATAAGAGTTATCTACTGAAATCGTAATATTAAAATAAAAGTGTATTAGACAATAGGTTGTCCTTAGATAAGTTTACAATTAGAGGTCAAAAAGTTCTAATGATAAACAAATATATTTCGATAAAAGTAATTGTCTTTTGTTCTCTCTTTATATGATGAAACCTTCAATAATTATAATCGGATATTCGATCGAATAGTATTATACTCCTACTCTTATGAGAGATATATTTTATATATATATGATTTTATGTGTAGGTGCACATAATAAGATAAAAATCGATTGTATTGTATCCTCTCCCTCCAACAATAAATATAAAATCAATGTTACATATCGAAGCAATGATATATTTTAGCTTATAGTAATCGTACCAATGATTCTTAAGCACCTACACAAATAAAAGCTACTATGTCACATGTAAGAACAGCAAGAAAAAGAAATAGGTATGACTGATTTCATGTACGAATACAAAAGATAGTTAGTATGGATTATTTTGTAATTTTGTTGCCTCACAAGTCCAAGGTCTATGTTAAATATTAAAGTAATTGTGTATTTTGCTTATTTAGAATAATATTTTCAACAATTATAAATGACTGATCATTTAAAAGTAATTAAGTGGCGAGTGTATGTAAAAAAGATAAAAAAAATAAGATAAACTTTAATTATTATATGATCGATCTCTGAATAAAGTACAAAATCTAGTAGAATAATTCGAAACTATCCCATTTTTTATGAATATATATCATATACAGATTATAGAGGAACCTAAAATCTAGGGGAAAGTAAAATGATTTTATTTTTTTTCTAAAAAAACTATAGAAAGATTTAGTTTCTGACTGCTACTAATAAAATATTTTAATCATCAAAATACAATTTACGACACAGAAGCAAATTTGTGAAAAAGTCTGACTAAAACTGTTAGAGAAATGCTTCCATATAAGTTTTTGAAAAAAATACTCATCCACCTTTTATCTTGAAATGAACAATAGCATCTATTAACTTAACAAGAATAATTTTCAACCTTTCATCTCTCTCATGTATTCTGTTTATTGCTTGTCTCTCTAATCAATAACTACAAAAATTTGAAGAAATAAATTCTGAAATTTTTATTTGTAAGATCAACGATCATGTACAATTGTATATGTAAAAAAAAAGGTTCTGTATGTTAGTAGAAAGTGTTTATTAATTAGTAGAATGTGATAATATCTTGAAGCGATATTTAAATGAAAATTAACGCATAAAATGCAAAGTCTATCGATGTGGTGGTGGTGCTGCAGCTGGAACGACACCTGGTGGAGCATGAGCATGGCCATGTTCAAAATGAAAATTCTTTTCTCCATGTACACCTGCCATATGTTCTCGAAATCTAAATAAAAAGTTAATTGATTTCAGTTCAAATAAAAGAAAAAAGAAAATTTTATACTTATCAAAACAAACTTGTGACATATCACGTACAGATGAACCAACATGAACCATTTTATAAAGAGACTAGAATGAAAATAATAATAACAAAAAAAAAACGATGCGAATATTACAAATAAATTTAACGTACAAGAAAGATAAGAATATGAACGAGAATAAAATAAATGACAAAAAATGTTCGACTTTGATGTGATGAGAGAATAAATTTACCAAAGTTTAAAGCAAATTTTTCATGAATTTTAAGTGATTCATATTTCTTTTGCTTTTCCTTTGAAATAAAATCAAATATAAATCTATATTTAAACATTAAATTTTTCAATACTTGTTTCGTAAAATTAGTAAATGGATCCAATGATGCATCGTAATCACGTGAATACCGATCAATAGGATCATCTGTTGCGCGTGTTGTCTATAAAAATACAATACAATTATATTATTCTAAGAGGAATCTCTTAACTATCATATTAATAGTGTTTCTGATTTTCAATCATCTTATCATTTAGAAAGATTCTCTCTAACACTATTCATTAGCATGTTATACAGGGACGTCCGCAGAGGTGGGATCGATCCCCCCTCCCCGCAAAAAACTGAAATACCTGGAGGGGAGTACAAGTCGAACAATTTTCAGAGATTTGAAATAATCTTTTTCTACGATGGACTTTTCTGCAAAGTCGTCAACCCCCCAAAAAAATTTCTGCGGACGTGTCTAATGTTATGTCATTTAATTAAAATGAGATTTCAATCAATTTTAGTGGATAAAAGTTTTTTTTACTGAATACATACAGGATAATTCTAAACGAATTTAATTTTTTCATATAATTTTATATTGTCCGATCGAAGTTTATCCATTTCATTTTGAAATATATTTGTTTGTTGTTTTAATGAAACATTTTCCTAAATACAAAAATAAGATTTTTCTTATAGAAAAAAAAATCGATTTATTTAAATTACGTTCTCTAATTCAACATTACGAATACGAAATCGTTCACGTTGACTAATAACAATAGCAGTTAAAGCTTCATCCGATGTTGAATCACGTGATGAAACATGTGAAAATGAATTCTTAAATGATGCTGGAGATGTACATGATTGATTTAATACATCTTCAATTATTATAGTTTCATTTGAATTACTATCACTTGTTTGTCCCTAAATAAAATACACCGAAATTTATAAAAAAAAAAACAATCCACTTCAGGTCCTCGTCGAAATAATTCAGTAACACCACCAACACATAATAAATCTTTTTCAAGTTGAATATTTAATTGTTTTAATTCATTATTTGCATTTTCAAAATCTCGACAACGTTTATCAAGTTCATGAAATCGTTCTAAATAAATGAAAAACATTCATTTTATTTTCCACACATACGAAAAAAAATTGAGGGTAAAAAAATAGAAAATCTTATTATCACCATATACGATATTCTTCTTTCTTTCTTTCTTTTCTCTCTCTGTCCTTGAATCTGAAATAAATAAATTCAAAGCATATTCAATATTATACAAAAAAGACAAATAGAAAATTTTTATTAATATTTGAACAAAAAAAGAAATCATAATTCACACATATTAAACTTCTTTCGCAAAAATTTTTTTTGTTAAATACAATAAAAACGGTAGAATGTTAGTAAATCATTTGATATTTAGTATTCTGTTGTTAGATGTATATACTGTATTCTTTCTCATTTATTGCACGCGCACACAACATCGAAATATAAACAAAAATTATAATCTGTTCAGATAAAAAACAAAAAAAAACTGAAGAAAAGAAAACGAAACAACCATATATCACGCCATTCTCTTTGTTTGTATTTTTTTTAATGCACTTGTTAAAGCAGTTGGGTTTGTTCACGACTAGTTTTAATACTTGAGCGATACTCACAAATATATATATAATAGAAGAAAACGAACAATAACAACAACAAAAAATGTTGAGCATTAAAAAGAAAAAAGAAAAAGAAAATTACAAAATCACCAATTGGTTTTTTTCTAATATGACCTTGGCTAAATAAAAATACATTTTTTTTTGTTAAGTATTAGTATCAACAGAATTTGTTGATTCATTCGTTGTTTGATTTGATAGTATTGTGTCATTATAATTATCATTCTCAGTTATTGATTCATTATGTAGTTTTTTCGTAGTAATAATTTTTTGTGGAATAGATTTTCTTTTTTTACTACTTGAACTAAATGTAGATATCGAAAGATTAGGCTTTTGTTCGTCGATTAAAGAGATAATATTTGTTGATGATGTTGCTAAACTAATTGGACTAGTCGAACTATCTGAATCATTTGTCGTATTAAACCATGAATTATTTAAGGGTACAATTGTTGGTAAAGTATTATCTTCATCATCATCATCGTTGTCATCCTCATCATTATCACCATCATCGTCATCATTATTATCAGTTAAAGGCGTCGAAGATATTTTATTTGTATCTTTCGTATACGTATTAGGTTTAGTTCTCATTCGGGCATTATGAAACCAATTCGATATTTTGTTCATTGGCAAGGATAATTCATCAACGAGTTGTTCTAATTTTGCTTGACTTCGATAAGGTTCACTTTCGAATATTTGTTTTAATCTACGACGTTGATCTTCTGTAAATATATATCGACGTTTTAAAGTAGGATTATTGTTACTTTCTGTATCATGATTCTGTGATTTTGTTGTAGGACGAATACTACGACGTAGAACTGTAAACAAAATCAAATGAATCGATAAAATATTGAAAAAATTTTATTTTTACTATCTCGTTCTTGTTTCCAAGCAAGTAATTTTTGTACATTGTCGGTATCACAAAACTAACTATACATACGTATATATGGTTCACGACCTTTGACACTTAATGCATGCCATGGTCGAGGTTTTTGATAGTATTTCACTAACTGTACCTTGAGAAAGATTAAGAACAGCTTCACCTAAATAACAAAACGATGCAATGTTTTTTTATTTTATTTTATAGAGTTGATCTATACCAAACACACGTTGACCAATACTGTATGAAGAAAGTAATTCACGTACTTGTGAACTTAACTGTTCAGTATCAATTGTAGCTAAATATATAATAATAAACAATAAAGAATTTCTTAAAATTATTATTAATTTACTTGGTAAAGATATTTTTGGTAAATCATATAGTGGCATTTGTGATTTTGTAGTTAATTGTGGTCGTAATTGATCTTTATTAGTTTTTAAACGAGATTTTGATTTTTTATTATTATTAGTATTTATTTTTGTTGTTGATATTGTTGTTCCATTTAATGATGATGATGATAAACTTTCATTTGATACTATATGTAAACAATCATTTGATTGTGAATCAATAGAATTTTCATTCTCAATAATTTCAATAAGATTATTATATTTTTATTTCTATTAGAACTAAAATTATTTTAGTCTTAATAAAAGTAAAATATTTATTTTTATATTTTTCAAAATAATTCATAAAATTCTATAAATCTTGATCAAATTACATAATATTGTATTTTATTTATTTTTCACTCCTAACTTGAAAATTAACTAAAGAAAAAAAGATTTTTTTAATATAAATTCAGAGAACTATTTCCTAGTATTAACCTATTACATTTATAAATATTTTAGATTTTAGGTGGTTTATTGTTATTGATATTATAAATAATATTTACGCGTGAAAAGTCTAAATGTTAAACTAATTATTTTAAGAAAACCTATTAATTATAACATACTTTCACTCACCAAAGCTTTTTTTTGAAGATAAACCATATAGAAATAAATTTATAGGGCCCATTTCAATATTAAATAAATCATATTCTAATTTATTTGGATGAAATGTTTGACGATTATCCAACGATTCAATATATAGAACATATGAAAGATTTTTTTTCTATTAAAAAAATAAATAGAGACTATTGAGGAAAATAAAATTTGTTTTTAGTTTACCGGTTCTATTACTAGCAATTGGGGATGAAATATGAATAAGAATTTTTAAATATGAAACTTCACCACAATCAAAACAGCCATTACTAAAAATAAAGAAGATGAGAACATTCAAATATTTAATGTATTCATTTACTGATGGTTAGAGTCAGAGAGAAAAGATTTACCGTTTTTCAAATTCGTCTGATAAAGCTAAATGAGATTTAATTCCATTTTGCGAGTAAAATCGTTTATGAACATCAATGCCTTCTGAAATATAATACAATCGATCACTCTCAGGTATCGCAAGACGTGCAAGAGCATCTTCGACCTAATAGATAAAATACAACAATGTTTTTAATTAAATTTATTTTTATTTAAAACAAACTTCAATAGTTATATTCATTAGCGTAGCTTTTGGACAAAAATTCAAAAATGGTATTTGTAAGCGAACACATGTATTATTTGTTCGACACTCTTTCTTTTCTTCACATATGTTTGTCTATTTGGTATTTTCCCTTCTCTCTCACATATATGACCATATGGGATAAATCCCTCTCTCTTATATATGTTCATATAGTATTCTCCTTTCGTTATCTTAAGTCGTTCTTTTGTTCTTTTTATTTATATGAAAGTTCCAAGTGATGAATGAAAGGACATCACTTAAGTGTTTACCTAGATT